GCAAGGGCCTCAGACCAACTGAAACACTGGTTAGCTGGTTGCATAATTTATCTTCTTTCATGTTTATCCATATGTAGAGTTGCTATAAGAAAAGACAAGCTCGCTTATGTATGGCAGATATAGCTTCTTCATAAAGCAAACAACCAAACAAGTGTGGCAAAAACCACAGGTGGCTCTGTAGATCTAAGTGTTTTTACCAAATTTTGCAAATCTCAGGTGTGTGGACTTCAACTCCCAGAATTTCCCAGCCATTGCCAATTTTGAAAAGCACTGTTCTAATGAGGTAAAACATGAATTCATTTTACAACTGTTAAAGAGGGTCAGAAGCCACTTTCTTACTTTTTTTCTTTTGCTCTTTTCTTTCTTTTTCCTGTTTTCTTTCTTCACCTTTTCACTATTTTCTTACTTTTCTATAATCTGTATTGTTTTTATCTTGTTAAAATCTCTTTAATAAAGGTTATGTAAAAAGAAATACTCTGTCTATAGGTAACTACTAGAGCAGCAACAAGAAAAAAAGGAAAGGCCAATAGCAAAATAGGCGCAACGGCTTACATAAAAGTCTGCATGTAACATCTGTGTGGACTATGAAAAAAAATAGTAAGTATAAATGAGAGAATAGTGTGATATAAACATAGCACTTGGAAGAAAAGTGCTATTGAGGAGTAGGAGCTACAAACAAAACATTATTCTGGCTACTGTTTTTATTTGTGTACTCCAAAAATTGTTCTTGTGAAGAAAAAGGTATAAAATATAATTAAATAAATATACAAAATTATCCTGCTATTCCCTGAAGGATAGACATTAGCTGCAGGAGAACATGTACACATCAGTGCTCAGCAAAACTGGGCAAGAACTCAGCATACCAACAACAAGGGAAAGGCAGCCTGCCAACTTTCACAATTAAACATGCCTCAGAATTGTCTCTTACCTAAATGTGATACAGTATTTGGAGAAAAACATCCCACAGGCATTGCAAAAAAAATCTAAGGGGACAAACGCAACAGAAAATGCCAGTTTTTGGATGCACATACACGCAACCTTGATTCCTTGAAGTAGGCAAGACTATTTATAGGTCATAACAAAGTGATGATGCGTGTGCAACTGATGACATGACTGTTGCAAAAGGAAAGGGGGAAAATGGTGCACTGCAGTAACTCCTTCGTGTCAAACTTGACTCCAGGCAGCTACACAAATCACTGCAGTTATCTGAGACTGCTGCCGGCTGCAGGGAGGAAAGGCCAATTGGATTGCTCCAGGCCAGGCAATTGATGGACCCAGTAGGGTTTCAGGGAAATATTCCTGAAACTCTGAGGCATGCTCTAGCCAAGGCCTTATGTTGCTGCCTAGAATAGCCATTGCAGTGAGCCTGAAAAAGCTTCAGCAACCCCTCCTTATCAAGGAAGGATCTGGTCACTCAAAAGAAAGCTGCCGGTTGGTTATTTCCAGACACAATAAAAGCCCACTTTATCATTTGTTCTGTCACCAAATGAGTCGACATAAGTGCTCTTACTCATGCTCAGTTGGATTTGCTATTTCGTCTTTCTCCAGATGTATTCACAAGAGTGTTTTCATTTCCCCAAGCTCCTCTGAAAACAGGAAGCTGTATGGGATCTCCAATTATGAAGAGTGTACACTGGTCCGAGATCCAGTTTAAGGCTCTTGTTGCCTGCTCATTCTACACATCTATTGGACAAAGTCACTGCAATCTACTTGAGTTGGACATGAACTAGCAATAATTAAGACTTATATACCACTTCACAAAGTTTTACAGCCCTCTCTAAACAGTTTTACAGTCAGCATATTGCCCCAAACAACAATCTGTGTCCTCATTTTACCGACCTCAGAAGGATGGAAGGCTGAGTCAACCCTGAGCCAGTGATAATCGAACTGCCGAACTGCTAGCTTGAGCAGAAGTAGCCAGCAGTACTGCATTCTAACCACTGCACCATCACGGCTCTTACCACTAAGCAGGTTTTATGTAAGTGATTGATATACAGTCTTTCTAACTGAAATAAATTTAGCCTGGTTAAGCCTGAGGAAGTAGATAGGGTCTTTGGAGCTGTAAACTCTTCTACATTTTAGATCCATGTTGCTCCTAGTTGGTCAAGGCCAGCCAGGAGGAACATGTAGCTGTGTCCAAGCGGTAACAAATACTTTTTTGCAGAAGATCTCGAGAGCACATGTAGTGATGGTGGTGTATCTGTCTTTCTTCTTCTAGATCTCTCATCAGTTTTTCATAGCATTGATCATGGTACCTTTCTGGATTAAGTCCATAGGTTAGAATGGAGACCACTCTTTTGTGGTAATTCTCCTGTTTCCTTCAATCCTGTTGATGGGAAGGGGGAGAGGTGTAATACTAAACCTCCCTTATGTGCAGTTCCTCAAGGCTCAACTCTCTCCCCACTCATATTTAACATCTAAATGAAATCACTGATTGAAGCTATTTACCAGCACAATCAATACCAAAATATTACTCAACTGTACAATTTGTTCAAGGTTCTTATCCAGTGACTGGAAGCTGTGGGGGCTTGGTTGGGGGAGTATAGGATCCATCTCAACCTTGGCAAATCCAAGTGGTTCTAGACCTCTGAACCTTCCAGATCTGCTTTTACGACTCTTACTGCTATTGGAGTAGCATTTCATCAGAGTTAATATACCATTTGGAGGTCATTCTCAACAGCTCCAGGTCTAAAGATTTTGCACAGATTTGTCCCATGCACCAGTTGTGCTCATTTCTGGACTATACAGTGTTTGTCATTCATACTTTTGTCACCTCCTAATTGGATAACTGTATTGTGCTCTAGATGGAGCTTTCCTAGAAGAACACTCAGAACTTAAAATGTTTCAGAATGTAGTGGTGCCTGGTTTGGGGTACTCTAAAGTTCCCTTGTGCAATACCACTGCTGTACAAGAGACTTTGCTTTCCAGTATACTTCCAGAGGCAATTCAAGGTCATCACCATTAAAAGCAGTCAGACTACTTGCTGAATTGACTATCTGAGCATTTCTGCCTAGTTTCAGAATCCTTCAGGAACATTATTACACTGCAGATATCACCCTTATATACCAGGGCATCTGAAGGACCTCAAATTTTAATTTTAAAATATGTTTGATGTTGATGTTTGATGTTTAATAAATTTATAGGCCGTCCAATCCCGAAGGACTCCCGAATAACAGGATTAAAAACTTGTGAGACCATGTACTCTTATAAGGTTTTGATATTACACCTGAAATATCATTATTTGAGCAGGAGTGCTGAAATCTTATGAAATCCTAGGTGATTTTTATATTAATGGATAAAATTCACCTAGGATTTCATGAGATTTCAGTACTGTAGGGGCCACCTACAATACTCTTACAAACCACCAGTTATCCACAGACTGTAGGATGGGAATGATTGCTAAAGAAGGATTCAGCTGTATCATACAATGTTTCATCTACTTACCCTTTCTTGAAATGCACCTGTGGTTTTATGTTAATATATATCTTGTAAAATAATATAAATTGAGGATTAAAGTTATTCACATGTATACATACTCAATGAACAAAAAAAGATCAAAGGAATTATTTCCTTACTACAATTACTTCTTTCTAGCAACATCTCAAAAAGGTGTTATCTGCAAAACAAAGCTGGAAGCCAAACATAGCTATAATTATATAATTACTTCAAAAACATAAACATAGATTGGTGAAGTCTCAGTATTCAAAGTCTCAGTATTCAAAAGCATAACTGCCAGATTTTCCAGAAGTGATTCTTGTTAACAGTCTTCACAGAACAGAAAAAAGGGCTTTACAGTAAAAGCCTTCACCTGTGGTATTTCACTTTCATAGATGATGCTCGGAAAAACTGCTTTTCTTCTTCTCTTTTGTTTCACTACCGTTTTTCAAAATTTTCAACTTGTTCCAATTGAGAGCAATTTAGGACAGATGCCTTTTAGAACAAAGTAAGATTCAGAAAACAGACAATGAACTACAGACTGGCTGGATCTAAAGACTGTTGACAGATCAGTGTTGCTATTCAAAAACTCCACAATGAAAATGTGACTTTGACTCAGTGGTGACTGAGCAAAACCTGGTCTAACCTTAGACATTTAAAAAAAAAATCAGACAGGACAAACCAACAAAATTAAGGGAACTGAAATTCTCCCAAGTCATTTCCCATGAGTCTTGCTCAGCATTTCCTGGCACAAGGGGAAAAAAATAAAGAGAAGGAATCTGAAAAACTGAGATCAGCAAACTTAGTAGTCCAAAGGGAAAGCACAATTTAAAGACTAAATTGGCTGGTTTTAACATAATAACAGAATTGGAAGGGATCTTGGGAGGTCATTAGTCCAACCTCCTCTCCCAAACAGCAAACTATATTCGATTTCAGACAAATAATTGTCCAAATTCTTCTTTAAAACCTCCTGTTTGTTGGAGCACCCAAAACTTCTGGAGGCAAGTTGTTCCACTGATTAATTGTTCTGTCAGGAAATTTCTCCTTAATTCTAGGTTGCTTCTCTCTTTGATTAGTTTCCTTCCATTTTAGAAGCAGAGAAATTCAGAGCTGCTTCCAATGAAATTGATCAGGAAACTTATTTCTTCTCTTGTAAACCTAAAATATGCCAGTCAAACCTTGGCATAAAAACAACAAATGTATTCTAAGGTGCCTAATCTGGAAAATCCAGTCATGTAAAAATAACATCTGTCAAACAGTGGACAGGCCCATTCACGCTCCTCCTATATCATCAACATAATCCTTGTACCTCCCAAAACACAAAAATATACTTCTTTGCATGAGCAACACAACCAGGAATGAACTGTGCTTCCCACAACTTCTGAACAAGAAGCTTCCAAGAACTGTTCATCTCTCAATGTTCTTCCACCAACAAGACACTTGAAAACAAGCACCGCCTGGTTCTTTTACCAAACAAGGCACTTGCGACCACTAACTTTGCTCCACTAGCAAAATTACCAGTAGACTTTAACTATCTGTTCTCCTTCCCACCAAAGGTTGCCTACCTTCAACCACACCTGTCCGAGGGTTGGTTATCTTGTCAGAAGTAGGCTCGGCTGCTTCAGTGGCCAAGGAAGTGGTTACTCGGGAAAAATCACTGGCACCCTCACTGCGGCTTGTTTCAGGCACACTTTCTCTGGAACTGAAGCGGACGCAGGAGCTCGAGCGGGAGCTGAGGTCTGGGCTAGTGTCAGACAGGCCTGGGATATCATCTATTTTAGTGGGGGTAACCATAAACCGGACAGAAGCCATCTTGGCAAAAAAGATGGCACAGAGAACCGGGGGGGGGAAAAAAACTCTCTTCCTTGATTAGTTTAACCTAAAGTCACCTCAAGTCGTAAGAGGAAGACCATTCAGAAAAATAGAGATGCCAACAGTGTTACCCAATACTCTCTCACGAGGAAGATGCATGTCGTCTATGGATTCACAAACTGCTTCACACTCAAACAGTGCAGTATTTTGACATCAATGCTTATTGGATATATTTTTAGAAGTACAGTCTAAGATTGAATGAAGGCAATATTCCATGATTTTGTAGGTTAAAGTTTCACAGATAATTACGTTGAAGATTCCCATGCATCAGGCAAATATGTCACAGTTTTCTGTTCTTAAGGATATCCTAAAGGTCAGAAAAGAAAAACGTTTGCAATTGTTAACTGTCAAAAGAGCCACACTGCTAAAATTCCAGCTTTACCCTATATCTGGGAAAGCAGCAATACAGAACCCGTTAAGCAAATGCCTTTTATTTCAGCAAAATGCAACAGGAAAAATATATCCAAAAGCAAAGATCTGCAAGGTATGCCAAAATGCTAGAAAGTCTATAATGAATGTAAGATTATAATCCACTTGTTTTCCATGGTGAATGCCAGGAAAAAAAATATTTTTCTTTGCAAATGTCCCTTAGGATTCTGGTGCAGAAAAAGACAAGAGAACAAGTATGGCAGAGGTCTCTTTTTTCCAACTGAAGAGAAGAAATGTCAGATTCCAGTGCAAGAACTTAAAGAAGCGGAGACAAAGTTATCTCTTAAGGTGCAACATCAAGAATTCCTCAAACTTCCAGTTGTTTTTGAAGATTTTGCTAGAAGGAGATCACCGTTAGATTGGACTAGTGCAAGGAAATTATCAGTCCTCCTCAAACTGTAGGATTCTGGAAAAAAACAAAGTAAATATGTATATATCAAAAAATCGATTTTACAAAACTGTACGGAGACATTGAATCCTCTGTAAAATCTCACTAACCCAAAGTTCTCCTAGAGATAGTCCTTGACTTACAACAGTTCATTTAATGACCATTCAGAGCTACATCAACACTGAAAAAATGACTTATGACCATTTTTCACACTTACAACCATTGCAGCATCCTCATGGTCACATGATCAAGATTCAGACGGTAAATTGACTGATATTTACGATGGTTGCAGTGTCCAAGCTGTCACGTGGTCAACTTTTGCAACCTGACGAGAAAAGTCCACAAGGAAGCCAGATTCACTTAACAACCATGTTACTCGCTTCATAACTGCAGTGATTCACTTAACAACCACAGCAAGCAAGGTCACAAAGTTCACTTAACAAAATGTTTCACTGTGCGATAGAAATTTAGGGCTCAGTTGTGGTCTTGTGGTTCGTTAAGTTGAGGACTACCTGTACTTGGTGCTGTGATATGGCAAGAGGGAGAAAGGACTGTTTCATAACTATTATTGTAGGAGAGTTCACCAAAAGGCAGGAAACACACATTTTCAGGTCTCCGACCCACAGAATGACAGCAACGCTCTTAGGAGCACTCCGATTCTTGCTGAAAAAGAATAGAATTCTTTATTGGCCAAGTGTGATTGGACACACAAGAAATTGGTCTTTGGTGCATATGCTCTCAGTACACATATAAAAAGACAATATACTTTTGTCAAGAATCATAAGGTACAACACTTAATGATAGTCATAGGGTAGAATACGCAATCAGGAAACAATATTAATATAAATCATAAGGATACAAGCAACAAAGTTACAGTCAGGCAGTCATAAGGGAGAAGAGATGGGTGATAGGAACGATGAGAAGACT